TTTTTTTTTTTTTTTGAGAGAGAGAGTGAGCGGTGGAGGGGCAGAGAGAGGGAGACAGAACCCCAAGGGGGCTCCTCACTGTCAGCACAGAGCCCGACTTCAGGGCTCGATCTCACGAACCGTGAAGTCATGACCTGAATCGAAATTGAGAGGTGGACGCTTCGCCAACTGAGCCACCCAGACGCCCCTCCATGCTTTTCCTCGTACGTGATTTCTGTGGTGAGCATCTCAGGGTAGGTCTGTGTCCTGCCTCCCTCAGACCAAAGGCTGTAGCCACAGATGCAGGAAACCTCTGTCCTTGGTTGCATTGTAGAGAGGCTGTGCTGACCCTGCCTTTCTTCTTTCTGGATGTTTCCGTGATTGGAATTAGCACCTGTGAGTGTGTTTGGCCGTTTGTGGAAGTTTTCCTCTATAGCTGGCCGCTGTCTTAAGAGAGAAACCCAGTATGCTTACTGACTCTTGTTACACGTGATTTCCCAGTGTTTAATTCTGTTGTTTTTAAATTTTTTTTTTCAACGTTTATTTATTTTTGGGATAGAGAGAGACAGAGCATGAACGGGGGAGGGGCAGAGAGAGAGGGAGACACAGAATTGGAAACAGGCTCCAGGCTCTGAGCCATCAGCCCAGAGCCCGACGCGGGGCTCGAACTCACGGACCGCGAGATCGTGACCTGGCTGAAGTCGGACGCTTAACCGACTGCGCCACCCAGGCGCCCCTAATTCTGTTGTTTTTAATACGTGGTTCAAAACACTGTAGTTTTTGTGAAACAATAGCCCCCCTCCCCATTATTTCTTAGAAAGCATCTTACCTGGGTTTTCCAGTCTTTTACATCTTTATAAGTGTTTTCTGATTCGTTACCCGAGATTTTATGTTCAAATATGACCTGCTGGGGAAGTGACTCATTTTTGGAGTGTGTCATTTTTTCCATACATATTCAGAAGCAATAGTACTAAATACTGTTTATCTTAAAAGTAAAACTGAACAGTTCCTTCGCCAGGAAAAATGTTTATCTGTCCTTAGCAGTTCAGCAGGGGAATGCTTCAGCAAGGGTATAGACGTGTCTGGAGAACAAAGGAGAGGAATGCTCTTTTATAGAGGAGAGGGGGGGTTGTAGGAGGGGCTGGTATAACAGCGCATTGTCGTGAAGCGGGAGTTCAAGTGGAGTGTATTTTCATGGGCTGAGCTGTGACGGTCTGCCACCGGCGAGGCCATTCATGGCAGAGGAGGAAACCTTTCTTCCTCCTGGTGGGACAATAAAGCAGTAGCTGAAGGCGTATCGAATCCGAGGGTGTCTTTCCTTCGGAGTGTGTAGTTGACAGTCAGCGCTGGGTCATGAGACCTCCCCAAGATCGTTCTTCAAGGGCATTTCTGACCAAGAGACCGGCTTTCCGTTGTTAGTGGTTTTGTCCCTCAGTGCTGGGGAGGATGTGTCTTGGTTCTGTGTCTCACGTGAGAGAGGGAAGGTACACAGCGGTGGAAACCAGTTAGGGGCCCGCGAAGGAAAGCTGGAGAAACTCTCCAGCACTTCCCACCTCGTCTGTATTTATCAAGCTGATAAGCATCGGAGGGGCGGCCGGCTGGCTCGGTCAGTAGAGTGCACAGCTCAGGGTTGTGAGTTCAAGCCCCACGTTGGGTGTAGCGATTACTTAAAAATAAAATCTGAAGAGACAGAGAGATAGTAAGTATGGGAAATCATCTAATTATTAGGTACATCATTTTCACAAAAGTTTGACAGGCAACAATATAGAAACCTTAGAATAAATATACAAAACTAAGTAGCTTAGCTTGGCAATTCTACATTATGTGAATAATATTCTTTTTTTAATAATTATTTGTTTCTCTAATTTTTTTTGAATTTTTATTTTTATTTTTGAGAGAGAGACAGAGTGCCAG